ACGGGCCCCACGGCGCCCTCGGCCGAGCCCCTCCTCCCCTCTGGTCCCTCCCACGGAACAGGTGCCTTACAATCAGCTGCGCGTGACTGGCTAACGTCTCGGTTGTTTCACCTGCGAGTAGGGAGCCAGCCTTCTCCCCGCCCTGTGTCCGCTCTGGGTGCTGGGGGCACGGCCCCTCCCTCAGGACGGCTCCCTGTGCCCAGGTCGGGGTCCCGTCACCCGGGACGATGCCCTGTGGGGCCACAGCTCCCTCGGGAAGGTCCCAGTGAGCAGGGCCTGGGGCCCAGGACCTGAGACACCAGCTGGGCCATCCCGTGAGGACACCTCTTCCAGCCCCAGCCCCATGGCCCCGGGTGGGCGTCCACGCCGGGCAGGCCTCAGGGCAGCAGGTTCACTCCCGGAACCAAATGCACAGCCTGGGACAGCGGTGACACAGCTGCAGCAGAAAGAGCGGCTGGAGGCCGAGCTGGGAAACTAACCCTCAGCCCCAGGCCCTGGGGCAGGTGCAGGGCACAGGTCACCTCTCTGGTCCAACCCCAGCTCAGGGCTTCCAGACCAACCTGGAGCTTCTCACCTTGATCTTGAGTTTCCAGAACAGAAGGTGTAGGGCCCACGGCCAGCCCCGAGCCCCTCTGTGTGGCCCCCATTTCCCGCAGGAAGGGGCCCTGCACAGCCGGGTGGGCTCCGGGACTGTGGCTTCGTCCCCAGGAAAAGGTGGGCCCCCTGTTCGCACCTGCTGCCCCCACCGGTCCCCACCCTCAGCACTGCCCCCCCGCCCACCGCACACAGCAGAGACCTGCCCTTACCTGGGGGGCTGCGGGGGGCTGTCAGGACTTGTGGGGTGAGGACATGGCCGTGAGATGAGGATGGAGTGTTGGGAGGCCGGAGCAGGAATGTGAGAACTTAGTGACAGTAATGGGGGCGAGCCCTCCGAGGGGGCACCTTGGGGACCAGGGGATGCGTGTGTGGGGAGTGCGGCGAGGGGGAGGGGCTGGACGGGTCCTGAGCTGAGCGCTCACCACCCCACCCACCGGCCTTGGCCTCCGCTCTCGCTCTTGGTGGGAAAGGTGGCCTTTGGGTCA